AGCTGGTATTTATTGTAAATGGAAGGTCAAGAGCTCGAAAGACATTTAGTGGATTTGCTTTCCGGTTAAAGAAGCCTCTGTCCCAGACTAGCGGCCCTACTGTTATTTTTGTGATTTGGATCCACTAATATTGATAGAACTGGAATTGGTTCATTCAGCAATCCGTCTAAACTTTCAGGATGAATTTTTAAGTGTAGTCGGTAAGGTGGCTGGGGGAAGAGGGGATTGCAGAATTTTGGAACTGGAACAGAGGGTCAGGGTCCTTTATTTTGGCCTATCACCCAATATCGAGATTCCCTCCCCACCATGGTGGGTTGTCATTCTTTTCGTTTTCTTTTCTTTTTTTAAAGGTTTTATTTATTTATTTGACAGAGAGAGACAGCGAGAGAGGAAACACAAGCAGGGAGAGTATGAGAGGGAGAAGCAGGCTTCCCACAGAGCAGGGAGCCAATCCCAAGACCCTGGGATCATTTCCTGAGCCCAAGGGAGAGGCTTAACGCACTGAACCACCCAGGTGCCCCATGTCATTCTTTTCTTCAATACCCATAGTGAATGGGAGGTAATAGCTTCCCAAGGTAACCCATTCTACATGGGGACAACTCTGTTACCTTTGTGCCCTACCTAGTTGGAAAAACAGAGAAGTTTTCTAAAAACGTATGTTCAAGGGATACCTGGGTGGCTCAGTCAATTAAGTTTCTGCCTTCGGCTTGATCCCAGGGTCCTGGGATGGAGCCCGGCATTGGGCTGTCTTCTTGGTGGGGAGCCTGCTTCTCCTTCTCCTGCCTGCCACTGCGCCTGCTTGTGCCCGTCTCTCTTTCTCTGTCAAATAAATAAATAAATAAAATCTCTTAAAAGAAAAACCAAACATACGTTCAAGGAAGGAAACATATACATGTGTATACATTATAGTAAATATCACACATCTATACATCCATGTACTCTGCTAGAGAGGCCTGGGGGTTTAATACCTGATAAAGCTTGGCCACCAGAACAGTCATCAGGCATGTTGTAAATGATGCTTCGTACTTAGCTGTTTGGGCTCCTTTGTAGATCAGCAGTATTACTTGTCGATGAGGAGACTATAGTGTGGCTGCGTTTCATACCCAGTGATTAATTTCAGAAACAAACAGCATGGCAATAATAAAGGAGTCTTTGAGATGCTCTTGAGGAAACCTAGAACTTGATTTAAGGACCTTAAATTCCAGGGACATCCCACAGGGCTGAGAGAGCTCTGCATCCAAAGTTGGTACCCATTGTATATAGAAATGTAAAGTGACCAGTGTAAAACATTAAATCAAAACCATTCCCAATTTACTGCAGATTTTTAATGAGACCTGAAAAATAAGATTCATTATTTTTTATTCAGCCGTAAAGACACATTGCAACTTAACAATGCATAAGGCATTTCCAAGGCCCCAAGTGGAAATGCTGGGTCTCTAGAGAACTTTGTGAACCAGAACAGGTTAACACACCTTTTTTTAGAAGCATACAGGCATTTGAAAAGACTGATCCAGAAGAGGGCAACACATCACATTTGTGAGTCCAGACAAGGAAACAGAGCCCAGCTCCTACTCTGTCCCTGCCGTGTGCCACAGCTGCTTTCTCAAACATTTCAGCTTTGGTGAAAGTGGTGAGGACACCATCTGTCAGACATAAACCAGTCTGGATGTTGTCTTGTGCAAAGAGTATTCCCTGTTGGATGGAAAGCTTGGGTCTGTTCTCTGTCCTGTCACTGAGGAAGGGTGGCCCTGAGATTCCACATGAAGGGATTCTTAGCTATGTCCCAAGCTTGCTCTGTTTTTGACTGTTCTAAAGGAGGTGAGTCCCAGACAGAAGAGACGATAGTCTCGTAGCCATTCTGGCTCTCTGCCAGAAGAGCATGCTTCCAGCTTCCGTGCCTCCCTCATCCTAGGACAGCAGGATTAAACTGGAACTGTGCCCACATATCACCTGGAGGAGTTGTTCAACATAGATTGCCGCCCGGCCCCCACCCCCAGGTGTTTATTCAGTGAGTCTGAGGTGGGCCTGAGAATTTGCATTTCCAACGGGCTCCCAGGGAATGCTGATACTGGGCCTCCAGTCTGGAACCGCTGCCCTGAGAGTGCCACCAAGGAAATGAAAGAGAGCATAGCCAGACTGCCCACTTTCCAGCCCACCACTCCCTGGGGAAAATGAAGAGCAAAGGCCTTCAGCCAGGGGTGGCTCAGGCAGGTAGACCTGCTTGTTGAGTGCGATGCTTAGAAGCATTCATTGTGAGACTTTGCCTAAAACATGTTGAAATCATTGCAAAAAGTTAAACCCTAGGGAGGCGATTAACAATTTAGCATTTTCAGTTCCAGTGAGAACTGCCGTCTACTTACCAAGGGGAATGTGTTCAGTGGGAGAGGCTGCAGAGTCAGCTGGGGTTCCCCACTGCCTTTGTTTTGACACTCTTCCTGGAGGAAGAGAAATGCAAGGATGGGTCTCTCAATAGCTTGTTAAGCTGATAGGAACAGTTTGTCTCTCTTTAGCTGGCTAATTCTGCAGGGGAAGCAGCGGTAAAGGGTGAAAGCAGAGAGATCTGGGTTGGGGGCGGGTGTGTGGGGGGGGGGGGGGGGGGGGGGGGTGGGAAGCTAAGAGGCTCAGGAAGCAGATCAGGTGTCGGTTTCCAATTTTAAAGCTCAGTCAGTTTATTTGGACCTTCAGAAGGCCCACTGAGCACCTTTGGGTTGGACTTTCTCCCAAGACATTGTTAGGAGAAATTGTTTCTCTTAACGGGTCAGGAGAAAGGGAACCCCCCACATTGGCACTTCTTGGGCGGGAACCAGGGGAAGAGCTAGATGGATATCCCAGGAAAGAGCACAGGATGGGAAGTCAGGAGATGATTCCAATCTTCACTTCAACCGTCAGCATAGCTGTGGGCCAGCCACTTGATTTCTCAAGGCCTCAGTTTCCCCATCTGTAAAATGAAGGCATAGACTTGAGGATCTTGAAGGTTTCTTACAATTCAAAAGCCAAAAGCAGGGTCGTGGTGCCAGATACCCAGATGCTGTCCTTGATGAGCCCTTGCTTTGCCACTGGCCTGGCCTTGTGGAAGAGTGGACAGCCCCCAGAAGCTCGGCTTGCTCAGGGCCGACGAGTCTGTAGACAGGTTTGCCAACCGAAGGTAAATGTGAGTGGTCAGACCTAGATTAGGTGAAGAGCCCTCCCATTTCTTGCTGGAGGCCTATCAAGGCACCTCAAGGCTCTTCTCAGAGGAAGTGGCAGGGAGTTTGAAATCAGACTGTCCCCGTGCAGGGGTCCAGGTCCCATGCTGCATTTCTGCCAGGGTCACAGAGCTACCTCAGTTGTGTGGGTCTCCTAAGGAAAGGATTTCCATCTTAGTCTGACGCTGAGCAAACTTAGGAAATGGCTAAGGCAAGAGCAAGCGCAAAGGTGGGTTCTCAGACTTCTTGTTGAAAAACACAATGACTAATTCTGCAGTGAATTTTACCCTCTACTCTCAATACCCTGTTTATAATATAAACGATCAAATGAAGACTTACTTTTTTTTTTTTTTTAAGTCCAATCTTTGCACTTTTCACGGGTTCATTTTGTGGTATTTATTTTGTTTGGAGTTAGAGCGGAGGATATGTCTCTGGAGATGGTCTCCGAGAGCAGTCCCCTCCTTTGCAGGCCTGGTAACAACAGAGTATAAGATCTTCCACGAGCACCACGCCATTGTTACCCACCGGGCTCCCCATGAAAGGGAGCCTTGTGCTGACTGCCCTGGCTGTTCTTGGCAGCGTGAATCTCTATAAGGAGAACAGGATGTATTTTACACTTGAGACCTGCTGTCCTAGAGTCTAACAACAACACTTTTAAGTGCTCTTAATATTAAGCTAATGGAAAACATACTCTGTTTACTCACCATCAAAGTCTGTTTTTCTTCTCTCCCTCCTCCCCCAATCATCACAACCTCCCAGCCTCTAGAACACACTGAGTATCTCCTGCTCCATCGATCTACACTCTGTCTCAAGGTTGACCTCTCCATGCTTGGTTGGCTCAAGGTGGACTTGGAAAAACTAGGAACTTACCACATAAACCATGTAATCCCCAGGTCGCACAAACCAAATATTTCTTTTCTCACAAAAGTCTCAGTGCTAGAAATGCTTGATTTACTGCTAGATTTATGTTTATTAGTGTGAGAAGTCATTTCTCCTCACCAGAGAGCAACCAAGTGCAGTAGAATGGAGAAGGTGGGCCACTTTTTCTGGGTGCTTGGTTCTCTCCTTGTCACGTAAGAGTAGGCTTCCTCACCCTCAAGATGTGGATTTGGCCGAAGTTATTCGGACCCCAGAAGTCTAATCTTTATTCTCCACTGCTTTGTGTTGTAAGAAGCCGTGTCTATGTGGGGTATTCCACTGATGCGATTCTAGAAAAGAATCTATTCTAGATTCTTGCCCAACCAAGTCCGCGATGCCCACGATTTCCCTGTCTTTGAAGGCGCTGTCCTAAGCACAGCTTGGGAAGAAGGAGCAATGGGACTGGGAAGACAGAATGGGCCTCTCTGTTCTAGAAGGAATGATTCACAGATCCACTTATTTCCTACTTGCATATTGTTTTTTGTTTGGGCTTGTCTTTTATAGTAAATGTATGCATGTAAACCAGCCTTGCAGATAAATCCCCTCCCTTTTGCAGTCTACCCCCAGTATTACCAATTTTCCCCTTGCTATTTACACGTCTCTTATTGTAAGACAATAAACAAACAATAACAAAGAAGCAAAGGAACCAAAGACCAACCCCCCCCATTAAAACAAACCCCTTTTCTTTTGTCTAAAAAGACCAAAATCAAAAACAAAACAAAATTGTGGAAATAACTTCATCGCTGTTTGTTTGATGCAGGCCTTGGGCCTGTTAACTATCTGCAAGGCTGTTGTAATGATGTTAATCTATTTTAATGGAATTGAAATGTGATATCCTGTGGTTTACGATGCACATTGTTTGTAGCTTTAGTGCTTGATTTTGGGTTTCTTTCACAGATAAACTTCTGCACTGGAGGGGCCTGTCCTCCCCTCGTTCTGCACACGGAGCTCTAATCCCCACGCCCGGGATGAGTGCAGAATATGCCCCGCAGGGTATTTGTAAGTTGAGCATTATTTCTTCTACAAATGTCCATGTGTATAAAGCTGAGAGTTTCTGGAAATTACCCTTACTTTTTAAGTACCGAAAAGAGTTACTTTCAAAACAGATTGGCATTCTCATCTGCATTATTCCATTACTCACTGGTACCCTCTCTCCCGCTCCATTCTATACCCCCTCCTTTTTTCCCCCTCCCCTTTCCTCACTGGAGACACAGAACTGACAGCAGTTCATCCCTGGGGGTAGGGGGAGGTAGGGAGGGTGGAGGGTGAGGGAGGTGGCCTCCCCAGGGTCTTAGCTGTCTCCACGGCTGGTAACCATATACCATCTGTGTGTTCCGGCCCCATTTTATTGCTGGACATTCGCTTGCATGGCCTCATTTAGGACTTGGAATTTATTCCATGGAGTCCGTGTTAGCAGAGGCCAGAACCAAAAGAAGTCAATGTAGAGTTACTTTAGAGCTGTGCTCATGTGTGTTATATGTGCATTTCCGTGTGTATTGAAGCATGGTATATTTGTATATCCACATGGTGCATTATATATGTGCATACATATGCAATTTCTACTTATTTTTCTCCTAGTTTTAGAGACAAATGCACAGCCTTGTTGCTTAAATTCAAAGAGTCCACCGTCACCCACATCACTACCACTAACACCATCCACATACTTGTTCAAACCAATTTTATGGTGGGGAAATTTTTATGAAATGTAGATTTGTATGTTGGTGAAAATGTGTTTGAAAAGATGTTGTTTTAGAAGGTAATTCAGTTTGCTTTTCTATGGAGTAACAAATGATATGAGTCATGCATGGTACAAAGTCGGATGGGGGTGGGGGTTGATTCTACCCCAAACACAAAAAAGCAGCTTCCTGAAAAAAAGAAGTGCAGCATCTAATCTTTAGTTAAGGAATGTTATTTTTACTTTGAAAGTGTGTGAAAACTAACCTGTTGTGGACAGAAGAAAGGAAACGGGGAGTGTGTCATGGAAAGAAAAGAACAAGATGCTGCAGGTGTTCAGTTAGAGAGGGGCCTGGTTATTCGGTGGGAGTCGTAAAGCTAGACCTAACCATCGTGAATGGTGTCTGCAGGGCAGGGCTTGCGCCCTGAGACCAAATTGGAAGCCAGTTGTTTGTTTTGTTAACTCCTAGGTAATCCTAGGTAACAAGGACTCATTGTGTGAATTTCACAAGTCCTCCAGTCCCGAGGGCTGGGCGGTGGAGGGGTTAAAACACCACTTCTGCCACCCCCTCCCCAACACCAGGCTGGGCCTAAGGCTGGCTTAGGTCACAGACTGTAGAGTTTAGGGGGTTGGACTCATGGTTTCGAGTCCCTACATGCTGACTGGGTGGGGAAAGCGCTCCTCGATTGGCTGGGGGTGCCTGGGGCCCCGCACTGGGCCGTGGGAACTGAACCACCCGTGGAGGGAAGGGAAAAGAGGGGAGTGGGGTGGTGGAGAGGAGGGTGGGGCTGAGTGGCCACTGGCTGATGGCCTGGGAAACAGTTCGTCCTCTCTCTCTTCCGCTGACCCTCCTGAGGGCAGGGAGTTGGATTCGAGGGGTGGGAAGCTAAGATCCTGATACAGAGCCCTTGTCTGCTCCCCCTCTTCCCGCAAAGGGAGGGTGCCTAGATTGCTGGTGCCCATGCTGGCAGGACCAGTTTAGGAGTGACCAGACAAGGTATGTGGAGATGGGTTGTGGAACTCCAGAAAGCTCTGGAGCAAAGCTGACCCCCAGGCCACTCAGCTGCCTTAACCAGCTGCTCCCTTGGCTTTCAGAGCACTTAGCCCTTACCTTGTGGCTTCCCTGCTGGTGGAGCACAGTCGTGGGCCCTAATGTGCCCCTACCTGCTGCCCTCCAGCCAGGGCCTCTGCTGGGCCTGAGGTGAGGCCTGGATTCTGGATTCCAGCCTTCTTCTGGAAGCCCTTCTGGGCATGCGACCTGGTTGGTCATCATGCTAGGGAACTCATCAAGGCTGGGAGTAAAGAAAACTCACGTTCACGTTGGTCCAGGTAGTTTACATGTGGCTTTTATAAGCATCTGTCATCTGAGCCTCACAGTTCTGTCAGGTACTGTTTTTATGCTCATTTTACAGATAGGAAGCCTAAGGGCCAAAGAAATGACTGGTTCGGAGCCCTGGTGTCAGACCTTGTTCTTCTAAATCCTGAGGCTGAGATCACAGGTCTCTTTAGCATTGGTGGCAAACTAAAAATGGGGTTACTCCTTCCTATACAGTAAAATGAAATAAAATAACAGCTGGTAGGTGAGCTAATAGCCGATTTTAACTGTTTGCTGCCTGGAGTTCCTGCACTGGGGGCCAGGTCTCCACTTATTGCTCTAAATCAAAACAATCCCCGTGAATGCCCAATGAGGCTCTCAAATTGAGAAGTTGATTTTCATCAGAGTAAATGAAGAATATTATTATATTTTACACGTCAATAAATCAATGTAGCCCTAATTTTGCCATGCAGGAAATCAATTCTGGTCTTTCTAAACCATCAAAGATGTTATGAACAAAGTAATTTCACAAATTATGGCAAGTAACACATTTATTGATGACTGCAGTTTAGGAATTGAGAATCTGTGAGCACCGTAATATAATATGGTGCACTGGTGTGAGCCGAGTGAAACACAGATTATATGGTGAAACTGTAATGCATCATTTGCTATTAGTGGGCTGGTAATAATTACCAGTTTCAAAGCAGCTCTTTTGAGGTAATCTTTAGTCTCATTCGTAACAGCCCTTCTCATTGACATTATGATTACACTAGATGCCCTCACGATCTAGAATATCTAGTTGATAGGAATACTAAAACGCGATAGTGAAAACTGTATGTTGTATGCTCATTATAAGATGAAATGCCATCTTCTCTGACCTGATGTTTGAGAAGAGAGGGTAACAGTATGGTGTGAACATATTGGAGCATGAGCACATCACTGGCTCTGAAAGCAAAATTTTAGGAAGTTCAGAGCAGCAAAAAAAGAAGGATTCCCCTTTAAGCCTTTTGGGGAGGGTGCAGGTGAGATCCTTGGAGCTGTGCCAGATACCTTTCGGCACTCACCAGTGGCCTTCCCGTTCACGGTGTGTGCGAAACTGGCATTGCTAATCAAGGGTCCAATCCTGAGTTTCAATCAAATATTATAATCTAAGATATGATTTTAAGGCATTTGGAGTGATGAAAGTGTTAAGGACTTGTTCCAGCTGACAAATCTCCTTTTTACTTATCCAGTTGGGATTGTCAGGCCAAATGTATGATAATAACACAGAGTCCTAGGGAGGCAAAGGAGAAAGCCACAGAGGGTCACGTTAGTTGGAACCAGATCGGTTTTTTCCTGCCTATTTAGGACCCAAGTCATTGTTCAACAACAACAAAAAATTTATGAAAATACTCTCAATGATGCTTTTTATTTCTCTTTGAAGAGAGGAGGCAAACAAAAATAGGCAGATAATGTGATACTAATGTCAGCGTTTTCTTTCAAAATCTTTCTGCCTTTTTTTTTTCTCCCTCCACATTAGGCAAATGTTGGAAACCTAATTTTGGTATCTTATCATCTAATCTTGTTAAAGAGATTTACCCAGGAGTGGGATATATTGAGTGAGATTATAAATGCATTGTAAAGTAAATTACAAGGTCAGGGCAGGGAGTCCATTATTCAGACAAGTGCTTGAGCAGGGCTGGCTTGTTTTGGAATGCAAGTGTTTGGGGCTCCTGAGAAGACCCTGCCAGCTTTTCTTTCTGACTTGCTAAATGGAGGAATCATAACTGATTAATTTTCTTATTCCCGCTCTTTAGCTTCATGGTGGATTTTTTGCTTTAAAAAAAAAAAAGTTACTGACACATACTAGCTGGGGGCCTTAAGCGATTCATCTAGTCCCCCTTTTAAAAGACGGGCTCACGTTTATTCCTCGCTTGTGTTTTACGTACGCCTTTTTTGGAATCCCTGGGAAGTTATCTATTTTTCTCATCCTTGTCCTTTGGCCACCAACATTTGTGCCCTTTTTAATGCTGTCGTTGACTGGTAAACTGTTAGTTACTCCCTTGGTGTATATACATTTTTAAATTTAGCTATCTCCAGAAATGAATGATTGTGAAGTCAAGCTGGCCCCTCTTTGCCAAAGTGGCATTTACCACTCTCGGGTTCTTTTCAGTGAGAGAGAAATAATGTGACTTAAGCAGGGCCCCTCTCCAGACGGCTTGGCTACTGGCCAAAGAGTTGACTAGCTGAACTGTATCTTTCTGTTTCTTTCTCAACTGGAGCTGAGGCTCAGCCGAGGGCGCAGGATGTTGTATAATTTGGTTCACGTTGTTAGCCTCTCAAAATAATGAGGAGGAGGCTAGTGTAGCATTTCTCAGCCTGCTGCCCATCATGGTGCTGGCTGCTTTAACTGTTCTTCAACTAGGATGCTGTGTCTGCTTAAGTTGGCACCGGCCACTGTTCCTAACTTCTCCAGACTCGCATTTCTTTGACTGGGGGACAATTCTTAAAGATGTGATCCGGCCTGTTGGTTAAATCCGAATTAAATTTCTCTTTTGAGATTTTTGCACTGTCCCTTGAGATAAAAAGGGGAGTCCCTATAGGGAGTTGTGGAACCAGAACTGGGACTCACTGATCCTCACACAGGCTGGGAGGTGAGAATGTCGCTAGCCTCTCTTCCACAGAATTACTTTATGCGTGTCTTCTCATTTTTAACAATATCAACAATTAGTGTGTTTCCGGCTAAGATTAAAAGCATCTCTAGGCCCACAGAGAATTGTAATGAGTTGACCTTCTCTTTTTTGATATCTCTATGAAATGATTGCCTCTTTAGAAAGTTCACCTGCCACCCAGGGGAGAATAGAACGATGGGATTTAGGAAGCAGGCAAGTTTCCCTTAGGTCACCTTGTCCAAGTGCATCCTTTAACAAATGAGGAAACGGAGTCCTGGAGATGAAGTAGCTTGCCCCAAACCACAGCTGGCAAAGGACTGGAAAGCTCAGATGTTTGCTGAGATTCCCTAGAATGTAGGGATCCTCATTCCCAAGCTAGAATTGGTCCAGATTTTTCTGATTTGGAGATTGGATTTAAAATTCTTAGAACTGAATGAAATGGCAGAAAGATTGATTGGACAAATATTTATTGGGCCTCAGTCACCAGATGTGCTGGGCACCAATGCAGGCTCGCAGAAGAATAGGTCAGTGAGGGCTGAGGCCTCTCGGGTTGAGGGCTGGGGGCAGGGAAGGCTGGAGGTGAAACATAAAGAAGCAATTGCTAATGCACTCCTCTGTGATGAAACATTGATGTTGGTGTTGTATTATTTTGCAGGTAAAGATGAGCCCAGCAGCTACACATGTACAACTTGCAAACAGCCATTCACCAGTGCATGGTTTCTCTTGCAACACGCACAGAACACTCATGGATTAAGAATCTACTTAGAAAGCGAACACGGAAGTCCCCTGACCCCGCGGGTTGGTATCCCTTCAGGACTAGGTGCAGAATGTCCTTCCCAGCCACCTCTCCATGGGATTCATATTGCAGACAATAACCCCTTTAACCTGCTAAGAATACCAGGATCAGTATCGAGAGAGGCTTCCGGCCTGGCCGAAGGGCGCTTTCCACCCACTCCCCCCCTGTTTAGTCCACCACCGAGACATCACTTGGACCCCCACCGCATAGAGCGCCTGGGGGCGGAAGAGATGGCCCTGGCCACCCATCACCCGAGTGCCTTTGACAGGGTGCTGCGGTTGAATCCAATGGCTATGGAGCCTCCCGCCATGGATTTCTCTAGGAGACTTAGAGAGCTGGCAGGGAACACGTCTAGCCCACCGCTGTCCCCAGGCCGGCCCAGCCCTATGCAAAGGTTACTGCAACCATTCCAGCCAGGTAGCAAGCCGCCCTTCCTGGCGACGCCCCCCCTCCCTCCTCTGCAATCCGCCCCTCCTCCCTCCCAGCCCCCGGTCAAGTCCAAGTCATGCGAGTTCTGCGGCAAGACGTTCAAATTTCAGAGCAACCTCGTGGTGCACCGGCGCAGCCACACGGGCGAGAAGCCCTACAAGTGCAACCTGTGCGACCACGCGTGCACGCAGGCCAGCAAGCTGAAGCGCCACATGAAGACGCACATGCACAAGTCGTCCCCTATGACGGTCAAGTCCGACGACGGCCTCTCCACCGCCAGCTCCCCGGAACCCGGCACCAGCGACCTGGTGGGCAGCGCCAGCAGCGCGCTCAAGTCTGTGGTGGCCAAGTTCAAGAGCGAGAACGACCCCAACCTGATCCCGGAGAATGGGGACGAGGAGGAAGAGGAGGACGACGAGGAAGAGGAAGAAGAGGAGGAAGAGGAGGAGGAGGAGCTGACGGAGAGCGAGAGGGTGGACTACGGCTTCGGGCTGAGCCTGGAGGCGGCGCGCCACCACGAGAACAGCTCGCGGGGCGCGGTGGTGGGCGTGGGCGACGAGGGCCGCGCCCTGCCTGATGTCATGCAGGGCATGGTGCTCAGCTCCATGCAGCACTTCAGCGAGGCCTTCCACCAGGTCCTGGGCGAGAAACATAAGCGCGGCCACCTGGCCGAGGCCGAGGGCCACAGGGACACTTGCGACGAAGACTCGGTGGCCGGCGAGTCGGACCGCATAGACGATGGCACTGTTAACGGCCGCGGCTGCTCCCCGGGCGAGTCGGCCTCGGGGGGCCTGTCCAAAAAGCTGCTGCTGGGCAGCCCCAGCTCGCTGAGCCCCTTCTCCAAGCGCATCAAGCTCGAGAAGGAGTTCGACTTGCCCCCGGCCGCGATGCCCAACACGGAGAACGTGTACTCGCAGTGGCTCGCTGGCTACGCGGCCTCCAGGCAGCTCAAAGATCCCTTCCTTAGCTTCGGAGACTCCAGACAATCGCCTTTCGCCTCCTCGTCGGAGCACTCCTCGGAGAACGGGAGCTTGCGCTTCTCCACGCCGCCCGGGGAGCTGGACGGAGGGATCTCGGGGCGCAGCGGCACGGGAAGTGGAGGGAGCACGCCCCATATTAGTGGTCCGGGCCCGGGCAGGCCCAGCTCAAAAGAGGGCAGACGCAGCGACACTTGTGAGTACTGTGGGAAAGTCTTCAAGAACTGTAGCAATCTCACTGTCCACAGGAGAAGCCACACGGGCGAAAGGCCTTATAAATGCGAGCTGTGCAACTATGCCTGTGCCCAGAGTAGCAAGCTCACCAGGCACATGAAAACGCATGGCCAGGTGGGGAAGGACGTTTACAAATGTGAAATTTGTAAGATGCCTTTTAGCGTGTACAGTACCCTGGAGAAACACATGAAAAAATGGCACAGTGATCGAGTGTTGAATAATGATATAAAAACTGAATAGAGGTATATTAATACCCCTCCCTCACTCCCACCTGACACTTCCTTTTTTCACCACCCCCTCCCCCATCGCCCTCCAGCCCCACTCCCCCGTAGGATTTTTTTCTAGTCCCATGTGATTAAACAAACAAACAAACAGAAGTAACGGAAGCTAAGAATATGAGAGTGCTTGTCACCAGCACACCTGTTTTTTTTTTTCTTTTTCTTTTTTCTTTTTCTTTTTTTCCTTTATGTTCTCACCGTTTGAATGCATGATCTGTATGGGGCAATACTATTGCATTTTACGCAAACTTTGAGCCTTTCTCTTGTGCAATAATTTACATGTTGTGTATGTTTTTTTTTTTTTTTAAACTTAGACAGCATGTATGGTATGTTATGGCTATTTTAAATTGTCCCCGATTCGTTGCTGAGCAAACATGTTGCTGTTTCCAGTTCCGTTCTGAGAGAAAAAGAGAGAGAGAGAGAAAAAGACCATGCTGCATACATTCTGTAATACATATCATGTACAGTTTTATTTTATAACGTGAGGAGGAAAAACAGTCTTTGGGTTAACCCTCTACAGACAGAATGGACAGCACTGAAACGAAATCTCTATGAGCTAAATGTCTGTCTCTAAAGGGTTAAATGTATCAATTGGATAGGAAAAAAAAAGGCCTTGAATTGACAAACTAACAGAAAAACAAAACAAGTTTATCCTATCATTTGGTTTTAAAATATGAGTGCCTTGGATCTATGAAAACCACGTTGATGGTTCTTTCTACTTGTTATAAACTTGTAGCTTAATTCAGCATTGGGTGAGGTAAGAAACCTTAGGACCTAGCATATAATTCTATATTGTATTTCTCACAACAATGGCTACCTAAAAATATGACCCACTATGTCCTAGTTAATCATCATTCTCCCTTTAGTTTAATCTTATAAGCAAAACTGATTATACCAGTATAAACGCTATTTTGCTCCTGGTGAGAGCTTAAAAGAAATGGGCTGTTTTGCCCAAAGTTTTATTTTTTTTAAATGATGATTAGATTGAATGTGCAACGTGCAAAAGCCCTGGAATACAATTAAATGCATTAGTAAGGAATTCATTTTATGAAGATAACTTGTTTTAAATAATGTCTGTTTAAAAAAATTCTGGCACCAAAAGAAATAGATCCAGATCTATTTGGTTGTCAAAGGGACAATCAAACGATAAACTTTAAGACCTCGTAGACCATATTAAAAACAAGAGACTGACGATAAGGTTTGACAGAGGGTAACAGGAAAAAAATATGTGATCTTTTAGCACAATGTGGTACTATTTGCCATTTTAAACTAGAACAGGTGTATAAGCTAATATTGATACAATGATGATTAACTATGAATTCTTAAGACTTGTGTTTAAATGTGACATTCTTAAAAAAGAAGAGAAAGAATTTTAAGAGTAGCAGTATATATGTCTGTGCTCCCTAAAAGTTGTACTTCATTTCTTTTCCATACACTGTGTGCTATTTGTGTTAACATGGAAGAGGATTCATTGTTTTTATTTTATTTTTTTAATTTTTTCTTTTTTATTAAGCTAGCATCTGCCCCAGTTGGTGTTCAAATAGCACTTGACTCTGCCTGTAATATCTGTATCTTTTCTCTAATCAGAGATACAGAGGTTGAGTATAAAATAAACCTGCTCAGATAGGACAATTAAGTGCACTGTACAATTTTCCCAGTTTACAGGTCTATACTTAAGGGAAAAGTTGCAAGAATGCTGAAAAAAAAAAATTGAACACAATCTCATTGATGAGCATTTTTAAAAAAAAAAGCTAAAAAAAAAAAAAACCTTTGCCAGCCATTTACTTGACTAATGAGCTTACTTACTCGGACTCAACATTGCAAGCGCTGTGAATGGAAAACAGAATACACTTAACATAGAAATGAATGATTGCTTTCGCTTCTACAGTGCAAGGATTTTTTTGTACAAAACTTTTTTAAATATAAATGTTAAGAAAAAAATTTTTTTAAAAAACACTTCATTATGTTTAGGGGGGAACTGCATTTTAGGGTTCCATTGTCTTGGTGGTGTTACAAGACTTGTTATCCATTTAAAAATGGTAGTGGAAATTCTATGCCTTGGATACACACCGCTCTTCAGGTTGTAAAAAAACATACATTGGGGAAAGGTTTAAGATTATATAGTACTTAAATATAGGAAAATGCACACTCATGTTGATTCCTATGCTAAAACACATTTATGGTCTTTTTTCTGTATTTCTAGAATGGTATTTGAATTAAATGTTCATCTAGTGTTAGGCACTATAGTATTTATATTGAAGCTTGTATTTTTAACTGTTGCTTGTTCTCTTAAAAGGTATCAATGTACCTTTTTTGGTAGTGGAAAAAAAAAAAAAGACAGGCTGCCACAGTATATTTTTTTAATTTGGCAGGATAATATAGTGCAAATTATTTGTATGCTTCAAAAAAAAAAAAAAAGAAGAGACAAACAAAAAAGTGTGACATTGTACAGATGAGAAGCCATATAATGGCGGTTTGGGGGAGCCTGCTAGAATGTCACACGGATGGCTGTCATAGGGGTTGTACATATCCTTTTTTGTTCCTTTTTCCTGCTGCCATACTGTATGCAGTACTGCAAGCTAATAACGTTGGTTTGTTATGTAGTGTGCTTTTTGTCCCTTTCCTTCTATCACCCTACATTCCAGCATCTTACCTTCATATGCAGTAAAAGAAAGAAAGAAAAAAAAAAGGAAAAAAAAAAACAAAAACAATGTTTTGCAGTTTTTTTCATTGCCAAAAACTAAATGGTGCTTTATATTTAGATTGGAAAGAATTTCATATGCAAAGCATATTAAAGAGAAAGCCCGCTTTAGTCAATACTTTTTTGTAAATGGCAATGCAGAATATTTTGTTATTGGCCTTTTCTATTCCTGTAATGAAAGCTGTTTGTCGTAACTTGAAATTTTATCTTTTACTATGGGAGTCACTATTTATTATTGCTTACGTGCCCTGTTCAAAACAGAGGCACTTAATTTGATCTTTTATTTTTCTTTGTTTTTATTTTTTTTTATTTGGATGACCAAAGGTCATTACAACCTGGCTTTTTATTGTATTTGTTTCTGGTCTTTGTTAAGTTCTATTGGAAAAACCACTGTCTGTGTTTTTTTGGCAGTTGTCTGCATTAACCTGTTCATACACCCATTTTGTCCCTTTATTGAAAAAAATAAAAAAAATTAAAGTACACAATGTAAGCTTCTTGTGTCCTCATTTGACACACTCTGTAAATTACTTTCAAGAAAATAACAGGTTTTAAGAGAAGGCCAGTCAGTCTTTTTCAGGATTATTTCTATGGGCATTTTGATGCGTGTATTATACCCTAAAGGAACATAAAGTGCTTACTATATTAAAATAGACATGTCTCAAAACATGGAAATAGTTTTTAGATTTTATAGTTCTAGAATAATTTTCAAGAAATGGAAAGTGTTTTCAGTCTGATGTTAAAAACTTTCCCTTCATCTCTTAACAATAATTCATTCAGATATAAATGAAAAATTTACTGGTAATAGCATCTTAAACTTTTATTTCTTTTGGATTTTTTGCTGTTCTTGTTGTCTGAAAGTTCTTTTTCTATTCTCCCTTCCCTGCCCTATCTTAGAACATAATGTAAAAAAGCTTTTTTTTAAAAAAAATCAGCTCTTTCGTTTCCATATGAGTCTTTCTTCATACCAAAAATAACCTCACTTCCCCCCCCCGCCATAAAAATCCAGAAACAAAAGCATCAGGTTAACAAGACAGAGAGAGAAAAAGAGAGAGAGAGAGAGAGAAGTAAACAGTAGTTTAGCCAGATGTGGCTAATCTGTGGAATCAGCCACTGATTTCCTAAGATGGATGGTGTTTGCCTTGTGATTCTGAGGTCCTAGGGACCAAAGATGGGACAGATCTTTTAGGTATTTTTATATTGTGTTCCTGGCTGATAGCAAATGAGGGGGGAAGTACCCTTCAGTGATCTTTTGCCCAACCAACAGATTTATGAAATGAAACATAGTCTTTGGAAAGCAGGTTAGGTCCCTTATTTAAAAAAAAAAAAAAAAAAAAAAAAAAAAAGCTCTCCTTAGAAATCTGTGTTGTCAGTTTTACAAATACTGCAACCTGCAGCATCTATTTGCTTTATTAAAGCACAGACTTCTCTGATCCTGTCTCCCTGTTCCCAATGTAGATGAATGGATACAACATTGCTCTTCTTTTTGTAAAAACCAAAACAAAAGCTGTTCTGTTGTCTTCTTGTGGTAGCATTTTTGTTGCTCAGTTCTTATGCCCTGGTGCCTGTGAGGTGGCCTTTTCATGTAATGCCTTTGATCTGAGGCAAGAATAGTTTTATCCTTCTAAAATGCACAGAAAGGAGGTGTATTTTTTTAAAGCCAGTTTGGGTGGGAAGTAGGGAGTGGAGGCAGAGAGGAATCCCGTAAGAGAGGATCTGTCTGGGGCTGGGAATAGGGGCTGGGATAGAGATGGACGTATCTTGCAGGACTTGGTAATTGGCAGTGAACTGAGAGGCGATTTCTGTGTTTTGAATTAGGTTACTTCACAACTGAATCCACAATACTAGTCAGGATAGAAATATTCCCCAGGGCCATGCCAGTTTTAGATGTGGTGACTTCTGCTTCACCATATTAAATGTCCATAAAACCGCTGTGTGTCCCTATTACTCTTTTATTAGGAGCCATGAGTGCAGCTGTGCAGGTTTTATATACGGTGTTCGTTTTAATTTTTCAGTATATGATGCTCTTAGCATAATTGGGTTTTGCATCCTGACAGACAGAATTAATGGTGGATACTGTATACTTACTTGTATGTTCAAATTTCTTAAATCAAATGGGGAATGGGGAGGGGTGCAAACATCTGGTGATAAATCACAGATTATGTTTGATTTACATGGTCCCGAAGTTAAATAAATTTATTGGGAGACACGTTCTTCAGGGTACTTAGTCTCCTGACTTAGTGAAGCCCTCTTATAAAATCTTACTTCTGAAGCTGAGTGAACAATAGGAGCCTGGAAACCTAGGCAACAGGAATATAACTTAAAAATGACATCTGTATCCAGGACCCCAAAATTTAAAATATTAATGCAAAATAACAAACATTTCCAACAGAGGATAAATTCCCGATTTTTTTAAAATGAGGAAATACTAAGGATGTTAACATTTTTCAGAATTCTCCAGTTTATGTGAAACCCCCGATGTGTTGATGCAATGTTCTCTACATACCTGAACTCTTAATGCTTAAGTGCTCCCTTTTGTCTTCCTTTGGAGAACAACTTAATAAACAGGAGTACCGCAAATACTACTTCGCACAGATTTTAACTTAGAGACCTTCCCAGTGCATGGATTACCTCTATCCCGGGACCATTTCCTACCTTCCTACCCTCTCTTTGTTTAGGACCTACAAAAGGACTGAAGCCAATACATTTTAAAGGTGGCTCAGAACACTTGGTTCTTCATTTGTACCAGCCATGGCAGGAAGTGTGAAGTAGTTGAGTTTTTCCCAGGGCATTCTGTGATAGGACTGTTTATTTAAATACCATTTTTGTATATGTAATAAGTACGTACTGTGTATATTCATAATGCTTGAAGTGAGAATTTGAAAGGAAGCGGCAGTAGGGGTTAGATATCATTTCATTTGGAGAAATAAGGAAATGAGGTGGTTTATTCACAGACACTAAAAGTTTGTTGAAAGTTTGTAAACTGGGATATTTTAGGCTTTCCTGAAAAGGAGTTGAGGAGCCTCAGGCCCCATCCTGTCCTGCTTTGAACACTTTCAGCTCAGAGCGTGAGGGAGGAAATACGGCGTTTTCTTTTTTTTTTTTTTAAAGATTCTTTTGCCCTCTGTATGCACACACAAACATGATTTCTTATGGCTGTGTTGTAGTCGTGTGTTCTTCATTATGATTCTGTTGCTCCATCGTCCCCGGGCCTGGTGTGTTCAAGAATGTACCCATCCCATTCTCTTTTCTTTTTCAGACAACTTCCCATTAAAAAAATGAAAAGAAAAAGAAAAAGAAAGAAATGTGAGAATTTTGCCAGTGTGAGGATGGGATTGGCAGTGTTCTTTAAACCTGCTTGGAAAAATGTCCTTTAAAAGCCTGTTAACTTTTAAAAAAGGCATGAGGCACTTAGCAAATTTTCCTAAGTGTCTCTTAAGGCCCTGCAGCTTTTCCAATTAAGAATAAATGAACCCATGTTTAGAGAAATGGACATCAGGACACATAGCCAGAATTGGGACTATGTACATTTATTTCAGGGCTGCTGTAGCTGCAAATAGTAGACATGGGTTGTTGGGTGTGCACTTTTGCTTACTGTCATCTTGTTATCCCATTAGCCCTCTGTTTCATTTAGTAAAACACATGGCCAGTGAATCAGCCTTTAGGGGGATGGGTCTGTTTCTCTCTCTCTCTCTGTTTCCCAGTGTCATCTATGGTCATGGGATGCGATTAATTCCTCCCTTGCAAACAGGAAAGGAGACCAATTCAGTTCACGTGGGTCATTGTACTTAAGAACCTAAACTTGCCTGAACACACAATTTCAGTGGTTGATCCAAATACTGTTTTTCCTTTCTGTAAAAGTGGCAAAGACTACTTAAAGGGAGTGAATATCAGGTCCTTGTGATTCCGCAGAAAAGGCAAATTAAACGATTTCCCCAAAGTCAATCCTCTAACGCAGGACCAAACCCCCCAGCCCCAAACCCATAAGGGGCTGTGCTTTTCAATAATGGTGAGCGTGGTACATGTCCATGCTGTATTTTGTCTGTTAGGGTTTTCAGTACTGGTAGCAGGTCGGACAAAGGGGTTCGATGGGGGTATCAGCCCACCTGGACACAGGAGGCCCCTCAGTCCGGGTCTCCACTGCGCGGGGGGAATTCAGGAGAGCAGCTGAGCTCCAGACCCTGGGCCTCCTGCGGCGCCAAGTCGGGGGAGAGGAGGCCCCAGGCCCAGGCTTCAGGTCGCCATGGCAACGAGCCCTGGAATGCCACAGTGGTAGCCCTCTTCCTCGGCACATCCGGACTCCCAGTTCTGCTGCTTCAAGTCAATGTACACAGCAAGGGAGGAACCCCGGAGGAAAATAACCACTCCCTTCTTCCCTTCACCATTGCCTTTCCCCCTTACCAAAAAGAAAAAAAAAAAAAGGAAAAGAAAACTGCATGTTTGAAAGAAACTACAGGCAGTTTTTGGTGCAATTTGGGAGCAACTATTTTGGGTTCTGGTTTTCTCTTCAGAGATTTGTTCGCCTCTTGTAAATCGTTGGCTGCTTTGACGTTGAACTTGATGACATTTCATGTTTTCGTTGTGCTGCTTTTACATCAATTTTGAGTTTCTGTTTCTTTATAATTTTATTATTATTTTAAGGAAATGTCCCCTTCCCCCCCCCTCCCCTGTTCTCCTCAACCAAAGGACTGTTTCCTACTCAGTTTTCTCAGTCATAAGG